ACCTAATTCTTTCTGAGTGGTGTCCTTTAAGAAGGGAAACAGACACAGAGGCACACACACACACACACACAAGGAAAGGCAGACTGTGTGGTAACAGGGGCTGAAGCATAGAAAAGTCCAGAAACACCTGAGATCACTGGTAACTATTAGCAAGACCTTCCTCTTACTGCTGATGCCCTAAATTTGAACTGTTAGTAACCAGAACTGGGAGAAAGTAAATTTCTGTCCTTTAAAGGCACCCTCTTAGTGTTTTTTTTTTTTTTTCTTACTTCGTGTATTTTTATTATCACAGCATTAAGAGGGTCAGCAAAGAAGAGGAAGAGCCTTAACGAGTTGGATTGACAAAGTGGCTGCAATAATGCGCTCAAATGACTGTGAGGATGGTGCCGGACTGGGCAGTGTTCCCTCTGTTGTACATGGGGCTATTAGGAGTTGGAACCAACTCAATGGCACCTAACGGAAAACTAAGACACCATGGTCTCCTGGTGAAATAACAGTAGCCAAGACCCCTCCAGCTATAGGTCTTTCCAGATCAATTCTGGGGCATTCTTTATCCAATCTAAACATTTTCCTCTAAATGTGATCCTGGCTCCAAAAAGTCTGGGACTCAGCATTACTTTGCCTGCATCTCCTCAGAGAGCAATAATATGGATTCCCAAGGAGCAGCTGGTGAGGTTGAACCCCCAACCTTGTGGTTCAAATCAACCTTGCAGTCCAGCGCATTGACACACAGCGCCACACCAGGACTCCAGCAATCATCTAGCTCAGACAAAAGATAAGTTTGCAAGAACAGTCAGTTGAGATTTCTGGTCCTCCCACTAAGCCTTAGGCAGGCTTCCTGGCTGATGATTTGCTGAAATGACTAGTTTTAGCATTGCCTTGCTATAACGGACAAAACAAATGAAAACTGGGTTAAGTATTAAGCTTCTTATCATGTCGCCATTAAGAAATACCTTTTCTGCATTCCTAGAGTCCTTCTGCATTGATCTACTCTTCAACCTAAATATTTTAAATTCTCAGGTAGATCTTTGTGTTCGAAGGAAAAAAAAAAAAGGACAGGACACAAGAGCTCTAAATCTATGGTCAGGCCAGCCTACATTTTTATTCATTAGTTCCCCTGAGCCTTGATCATCTCTTTCCATGCCTGTTCTGTTATTTTGCTTCATTTCTTAATTCAGGAAAAGATGACTAATATATTAGATCACTTTCATGACTGGGTCATGTTGGGTTTCAGAAATCTTTTAGGATAGACTCCTTTAAAAAAAAATAAAACAAAAACCTAAGAAAGGCGTAAAATGTCAGGGAAATGGAGTCCCTGTCATTTCACTCACAAATTTTGCCTTTTAAATGTATTTCCTCTACCAAGGGTTCAGTGAAAGCTGGTTTTCTTATTGTCATTTATTAGCCATGACAGGCAGAAATACTCCTTTTATTGTCCCAATTCTTGTGTGATGCCACAATTCTCTTGTGATGCCTGCAAGGCAAAAGACTGCTCAAAACTCCTTTCCTTCTGGGATGTGTTTCCCAAAGGCAACAGTTCAAAGCAAACCTCTATTAACTAGAACACTGACATCTACAGAATTCTCTGGACAGGAGGTCTCCCCTGCTCTTGTAGTGATACCAGAAGCTCAGGCATAATTACATACACTCCAGCCACTAGGAGCTCAGGTTCAGCAAGAGTCTCTAGGTGAAGTCTCATATACCCACAGTGAGGGCATCTCCACCACATAAACAATCTACACAGACTGACAACATAAAATACTTCCATCTCAGCAAGGGTCCTTCACTGTTAACCTGCCCCAACAGGAAAAATACAAATGTATTCCCCCCCCACTAATATCCAATATAAGGAGCTCTGGTAGCGTAGTGGTTACGAATCGGGCTGCGAACCGCAAGGTCAGCAGTTCGAAACTACCAGCTGCTCCGCAGGAGAAAGATGAGGCGTTCTGCTCCTGTAAAGATTAACAGCCTTGGAAACCCTGTGCAGGGTCGCTATGAGTCGGAATCGACTCCACGGCACACAACAACAATATCCAATATAACAAATTAGGACAAAATATTATTAGCAAAATTTAATAACTAGGCCAACTATGGGCTTTATTGACAAGAGCCCTGGTGGATAAACTCTGAAGTGCTAGTGACAAGGTTGGTAGTTCAAACCCACCAGTGGATGGCCCATGGAAAAAATGAGGCTGTCTGCTCCCGTAAAGATTTATTGTCATGGAAACCCTATACAGGGTCTTTACAAGTTGGAATTGCTTCCTTGATGGGAGTGGGTTTTGTTTTTATAAACAAAATGGGCTTTATTAGCCCCTAACAGTTCAAGCTCACCAGTTGCTCCTCAGAACCTCTATACAGGGTTGCTATGGATCACAATCGAATCGACAGCACTTAACGAGATAAACATCTGGATATTTTCTCAGAAGGGGCCGATCCCTGGAGAAGTACCTCACGCTTGGTAGAGGGTCAGCAAAAAAGAAGACTCTTAACAAGCTGGATTGCAAAAATGGGCTGAAACAATTGTGAAGACGGAACAGGACCAGGCGGCAGTGTTTCATTCTGTTGTATGTGGGGTCGCTGTGAATAGGAACTCCATGGCATCTACCAACACATTTGTGATATAAAAATCACACATTCGAGGCTAACAGGGCTTATTCACAGCAACATAGAAATCTGATGTTTTCTTTAAGCATCTTTCTTTCTTGGTGGCTGAAGGACTTAACAAATGGTCACATGATTGACCACTAGCTTGAGAGGTTTGTGGTTCAAACCCACCCAGAGGTGCCTTGGAAGACAGGCCTGACGCTCTGCCTCCTAGAGTTCACAGTCTTAAAAACCCTAGGGAACCATTCCGCTCTGCGTATGTGGAGTTGCCATAGGTCGGAGCAGATGTGACAGAAGCAAATCACACTGATTTCTTGTACTGGTTATGAGTCGGACTGCTGACCTCGAGGTCAGCAGTTTGAAACTACCAGCTGTTCCGTGAAAGAAAGATGAGGTTCTCTGCTCCCATAAGGATCTACACCCTCAGAAACCCTATACAGACAGGGTCGCTATGAGTCAGAACTGACTCCACAGCACACCACCACACATACCACTGAAACCTGTGAGAGCTGGAACTAGACTGGACAGCCTTGTTATTCCGGGTCTTGCAAGTTTTTTCGCCTGAGACTGGGTGCCCTCTTACCACTTTTATATCTCTAGTTTTAATGGAAAATATTTTCGTTTTCCGTCTTTAACAAGTTCTAGCTTTCACAGAACTTATTTTATTTTGTTTTTGGCATTATGGAGCAAACAGAGATTAAGAGAGAAATGAATTAAGAGAAAAGAACAGATTTAGAAAGAAGATAAGATGATAGGGTGGCAAGAGGAGACAGAATTGGGGATTGAAAAATACACAAAGCCTTTTCTTAACATTTTAAATCTGGTCCACATGGAAGTATCACCCATCACCTATAGGGAAAGCCTACAGCATAAGTTATCTCAAGTTGTTCTTTGAGTATTTAAGACATGTATACTGTGCTTCACAAGGGGCCCTGGTGACTGTAGTTAAGCGCTCAGCTGTTAAACAAACTGCAGGAGAAAGCTGTGGCAGCCATTTCTGTAAGACTGCAGCCTTGGAAACGCTATGAGGCAGCCCTCCTCTGTCCTCTAGGCTTGTTCCGAGTCACAGTCAACTCAATGGTGCTTCTGGAGTTTGGGTTTAGTGTGCAGAGATGACAGAGTTAAGTATATAATTAAAGTAGCATAAAAATGAACATAATTCAGCATGGTAGATTTTAATAAGGTTTTAATAATATTGGTAAACAGCCAAATTACAAAATGCCATAAAATATGGAGTACAAAACCTCAGAGACAACATAAAAACTCACAAAAATACAAGAACACTTGGAAAAGGTAATCATCTTTAGGATAAAGAAACCACTTTCTCAACAAAGATACTGAGCATGTTTAATAAAAATTAAATGAGATTAAAGACAAGGTGCACAGCGTGCATCCCCCCATCTCTCAGTGATTAGGACGGTGTTATGTGCCTAGAAGGCGGCTCAGCGCCACTCACCAGTAGATCTGGAATCAACTGCCTCCAGGTGGGCTGAATTCCTCAACTTTTACTTAAAGGATAGAAATGAATTTACTCTTCCATTGTACAGTGGTCTTGGAAATAAACTGGGTTGGCCAGTGCAGGAACAAAGATGTGTTTCCACACAGAAAGGCGCACACAGAGCAACTCCACTCAACCAGGCACTCTTTTCCAAAAAAAACACAAACAACGCATTATTATTCAGAGCAACTAAGTGTAAGAGCTCCGTGTAACAAACAAACCAAAAACAAGAGGTAAGAAACAGAAGGCCCCGCCCCCACCCTGTACCCTGGCATGTCGCACAACAGCAGGAGAGCAGACAATGCCCCAGGTTTGGTTCTGCGTCTCATCTGTCAGGGCAGCTGCACCATTCTATCTAGGATTATTGGTTGTGGTGGGGGTTCCCCTCAACCTCCTACAACAAATAGTTTAGCCCTACTGTCATTTGGGCCCTATATCCCCCCACCCTCAAGGGCTCTACATGCTATGCTTCATTTGGACCAGATGCTCAAATCAGTGAGTCTGCTCATCACCACTAGGAACACAACAGTAATCATGTAGCTGTTCTTCCAGCACATGTAGTAGTGCAGAGTGGCTGCCAACATGCTGTAGATGGCAGAGAGCTGGCACCCCTCTGCAGAGCCACCAGTATCCCAGCAGGCCGGGGGCCGGCAGAGGGAGGGACCCTCACCTAGCCCTGTGTGACGCTCCAGCAAAAGGTACTATAAATCAATAGTTTAAACAGATGCAGATGCCACGTGACAAGAGACAGGGAGGAAAATTTGAGGCTTTATATTCTTTAGATGTCTATTTTCGAAGCACTGGCTATTAAAAAGTTATGTGTAACTTCAAGATGAAAGGCATTAGCATCTTCTTAGAAGAGGATAATCCCAATCTTCTGGAGATTTAACGATGTAACTCACTGAAGCTTCTGACTCGGTCGGCTGTTAATTGAATCAAAGTCAATGACAATCTTGCTGCACTTTGGCGTGAATTTCCTACACATGAAAAACAAAACAAAACAAAAAAACACAAATTATAGAAAAATATTATCTGGTGGGTAGTTAAAATAATTTGTTTACTTTGGCTTAACCTACATTTTCTGTGGGGAGAAAACACTTCCCGCGATTCACTTGATATTTTCTCTCTATAGGAGCCAATTATAGTGCACCATACCGAGAGAAACATGGGCCAGAAAACATGAACAAAAAAAGATGCATGGGGCTGCTTGGTTTGTGTGTTCCTTGGCTATCTGAGTTCATGAATTATAGGGGAGTCACAGGATTTCTAACAAGTTAGTTGCACAACATGACATCGGATTACTAGTTTCCCCACCAGATTCATCTTATTTTCTAGGAAATTTCTGCAGCCAACTTGGGAGTAGCTGGCTCTAAAGAGACAAATAGTATATATTCTTTTGTCTCTGTACACAGCAAAAAAAACAAACCAAAACAAAAACAGCTAGCTTTAGTGAGGAATAATTTTAAAAATTGCATTCTAAAACCGCTGAAGTAAAATAGAGCCCTTATACTTTTTCATTAACGAACCTTCTACAACAGTTGAGAATATTTGGTGACTGAACATACTCTTGTAAAGATCAGTAATTAGAAGATTACTTAATAATTTGGACTTGAAGTCCCATAAAGCACAACAGTTTAGTTCAACAGATTCCTTCCATATAAATCCAATCCCTAATGATGAATACAAAGGGGGAAACAAGCTCTCTATTAGGATAATCCACTGCTGGCCACAAAACCTGAAAAAGGAAGTGCTTTGTTAAGCTTTACAGTCTGAAAAGAAAACTCCACCAGGAATCAAAGGTGGTTAAACTTACTTGCAAGTAAAACTTCACAACCTTTGCCTGGCAAAGATAATCATGAAAATCTAAATTATTACAAACCTCAATTTAAAATGAGGCTGTCAAAAAGAATTCCCAGTGTTGCAACCTGGCAGCTTACTTTTATCCTAAATCTTCTATGCCGGAGTCATTATACGCACAAAGTTTACGAAGGTCTAATGTATTTAATAACAGGAGCTCTGGTAGCATAGCGGTTACGAATTGGGCTGTCAACCGCAAGGTCAGCAGTTCAAAACTATCAGCTGCTCTGTGGGAGAAACATGAGGCTTTCTGCTCACCTAAAGATTTACAACCTCAGAAACCCTGTTCAGGGTCGCCATGGGTCGGAACCGACTCGACGGCACTTAACAACAACAACAATGTATTTAATATGGAGTCCTGGCGCTGTAGGGTAAGTACTGGACTACTAACGGAAAGGTTAGCAGTGGTTCAAACCCAAAGCCATTTCTTGGAGCCAACGCGACAGCACATAACAACAACATTAATAATACAAAACTTGAGAATTTAAAAATTCCTTACCACTAGAATAATACTCTAAGCCCTGGAAAGTTACTGAATTTAAAGTTCAACTCTTAAACAGGTTATCTATAGACACCTCTGTCATTGTTCTTAGAGAACTCTATCACTAAAGTAAATACTTCGCTTTGCAGTTCATCAAATTTAAGCAGCTACTTACTTCCAAATGTGGGAGCCAAGCATACAAGGTGTCAAATGCTTCTTCACAGACTTTCTTTCTTACCACCCTTCTCCCCAAGTTCTCCATGCTTACCTGAATGTAACCCCAGCCATATCAAACATGAGCCTCGCAGCGGTTGTCTCTTCGCTATCATGGTATTTATCAGACATGAAAATAACTTCTTTGATACCTTAAAAGGTAACAATGGAAACCCCGTTAGTATATGCAGATACAGATAGTGCAAAAGACATGCAGAAGCAGGTGGAGCCCATGTAGTGTCTATGATGAATTACTTCTTCAGAGTGTGCTTGCAGACAACGTCCAGTTACTGAAATATAGATCTGCTGCTTTCTAATATAGCAGAGGACAGATTATATTTAATCTGCCCTCCAGTCTTTATGGGTTTTTTTTTTTAAACAAATGAAAAGTGAAAACATGTCAAGTCAACGAGATCCGACTAACAAATTTTCCTTACTGCAGGCAATCAAATATTCTCTATTCACAAGGCAACTGCTCTCAACTCAAGAGGCTAATGGGAGGAGTGGAGAGTGTCGGCAAACTTCAGAGATAAGTACCACTGAGCTTCTAAGAATGACTCTGAAGACCAATTCAAATCATCTCTACAGAGAGCATATCTGTTTTCTTTTCCTGATCCCACCAGGCAGTGCTAACTCGAGAGCCAGGATTCCGGAGGCTTGAGCCACCAGCCTGCACTGAAGCTACTCTTCCACAGCCTCTGAAGGAAGCACGAGGAAGTGGCTACTCAGAGAACCCACTGCTTTGCCGATCCACCTCTCGTCGCCCACCTCCATGATGGAGGTTGGCCGTGGAAAGTTCTAGAAGGATTGGGCAGTAACAGTAACAGCAGCACCAAGGGGGCTCACAATACTAGCAGATGGAGGCCTTTAACTCTGACACTACACAATCTCTTCTTCTCAGAGATCCACGGGGCTCGTGACAAACAGCCCTCCAAAACACACATCTGGCTAAACATGTTAAGTGTTTAAATCTCCAGCCGAGAGTTTTATGGAGATAAAGTGCAACTGAAACTAAGATGGAACGGTGTGAAAAAAAGGTGAAATATTTAGAATGCAATGGTATAGATTTATGGTGACCATAACATTAGAAGAAACCAAAAGCAGTACCATTGAAATCTTACGGCATTTATATGCAAAGATATGTTTAGATCTTCAAATATCTACCATGTATTAGATACAAATTAAAATTTCATATTCAGACTCCCAGCTGACCTTGTTTCTGACAGAAGTTCATTTCTCTCCCTCCCCCCTAATCTATGCACAATATGTCAGAGAACAGTAAATTGACAGTAATTATATGCAATGCTGGTGTTGTTTTTTGGCAGCTTGCAGTTTAAGAAGTTGCAAACTAAATTAAAAACATGCTAAGAATCACAGAGGATGCAATTAGTCTTAGAATACCTGGCACCATTCAAAAACAAAACACAGGAAATACCTTGCAAAGTTGATAGTGCAATTAATTTCGATCTAAACAATAGCAATTTAAGATCAAACACATCTGCAATGGGCTACTGATGAGCAGGCAGCAATGCAAATGTGACAAATGAAAACAGCCGGCTTCCTACCTGCCTGGATGATGAGCTTAGCACATTCATTACATGGGAACAAGGCGACATACATGGTGCAGCCTTTCACGTCGGCCGAGTTTTTATTCATAATGGCATTCAGCTCAGCATGGCACACTGTGGGTGTAAAGGAGAAAGAAAAACTTGGATTGCAGCTGATAAAGAATATACAAACAGTGTCGGAGCTTTCCATTGCCCCCTCTGAAATAACATGTAATAGACTCAATTAAAAAGGAAAAAATGATTACAAATGGCAAGTACTGAGAATACCAAACGAGGGCCAAGTGGTCTGAGTGAGTTGGCAATTAGCAGCACAAGTGTTAACCGCAGCAGCTCTGTCTGTTACGCACCTACAGCAGCCAGGAGGGGCCAAGGTCAAGTATCTTCACCCACCCTAAATGTAGCCATAGCTCACCGCTCCACAAGACCCTGGGGTATTGAATTGTCCATATAAAATGGCTCATTTGTGTGTTGATATGCACACACAGGGATATTCACTGCAGCTGTTAAAAGGGCACGGTACAATTTTAAGAGCAAGGAAATCAAGAACTGAAGCTGAGCATTTCTATCCCGAGGGATCTGATTCACCTCATAGTTCACACAGATCAACATACAGACACATGGGAGAAAACTGTGGAGTATAACCAGTAGTTTGTCTTTTATAAGAAATGCATTCATCCACTTAATGACAATGGGAACACAAGTTTTTGATACACTGATCCCATTCTACCAATGAGGCAAACATGCATTTCAGTCAAGGGTTTGCCTGAATTCACGATTAAAAGGGCACAGGGCACCTTGCTCTCTGCTCCCCTTTCAAAGCCCTCCACATCATCCTAGGCCCTGTTTTGCTAGGCACTCCCACCGCCTAATCCACCAGGACCGCTCCTAGTGAGAGAGTATTACTCAATACTCCTCACAGTGCCGCGTTCGGTTTGGATCACATACCTGTGATTTGTGTGATTTCTATATTACCATCTTTTCCATTGGTGAGGCTTCTGTACTGCCATCTAATTTTCTGGGAGTGTTAACTAAAACAACATCATAAACTCCTACTGGCAGTGCTTCTAAAATGCGTCTGTACACTGGAAGCCAAAATACTCATGAGGCTGTAGTGGGCTGGGAGTGACTCCGGCTTTGGAACGTTTAGGGGATTTCCCCAGATGATGCTAATGTGCAGGCAAGTTTAGGAACCACCACCATATAAGGCTCCTTTGGTATCTCCCCTAGAGGATTTAACACATGCTGTGCACCTGGGTTTGACTCCTTGTCAATACACCTTATGCACAACTATTACCAGAGACCTGACTATTGCGATGCTGCTGAACAGGCTGCAGCGGAGCTTCTAGACTATGATGCACTAGGAAGAAAGGCCTGGCAAGCCACATTGAAAATTGAGCCATTGAAAACATACGGCTCACAATGGTCCAATTACTGTATTCTACTAAAAATGGGACCACCGTGACTCAGGGTGCTAATCACAACAAACCATGCACAACAAGTGCTAAAATTAATATTTGTTCACTAAAATAACAAATGACTATCTAGCCATAGTAAAAATACCCAAAATATCTAGAATTATAAGTATAGGTTCTTCAAGGGTCTCCCACAGGCTTTCCAATCCACCAATCTTCTCCACTCCCCACCTTTTTTCAGGAGTTTGGAGATAATGGATAGTAGTCTACAGTCATGACTTTCATACACTTTAGTCATAACTTAGTCAATGAACATTTATTGGTACACACTCTGGGTTAGACAGGATAAAGAGATCCTGGACCAGGAACCTCACCAACTCCTTCCCTGTTTTCTGATGGAATTATAACTACCCTTGTACTTGTGCCTGAGGCAGCTCAGTTGTTGTTGTTGTTGTTAAATGCCGTTGAGTCGGGTCCGACCCATAGCGACCCTGTACAGGGTTTCCGAGGGTGTAAATCTTTACGGGAGTAGAAAGCCTCATCTTTCTCCCGCGGAGTGCAGCTCAGTTAGGCCTGTAAAAAGCCTAGAGCCCTCAGGAAATGCTGTTGTTAAGTGCTGTAGAGTCAGTTCTGATTCATAGCAACCCTGTATAGAGTTTCCAAGAAGCAGCTGGTGGGTTTGAACCACCAACTTTGTGGTTAGCAGTACAGGTACCCTATAGTGCCACACCAGGACTCCCAGGAAATGCTAGTAAGGGCTAATTTGAGTCAAAGTATACGAAGTTTTAGGAGGTCATTGCTGTTGAGAGTCTACTCTGAGTCCGTAATCCCTTTTTGCCTAGCAAAGAACTGCTCTATAGAGTTTTCAAAGCTGTGATCTTTCCAAAGTAGATCATCAAGCCTATCTTCCAAGGTAGGTCCGAACTGTCAACCTTTCAGCTAATGGTTAAGCGCGTAACCATTGATACCACTAAGAGACTTCTAGTCCTATGTGAAAATGAACAATCTCTGGCATTGTAGGAAAAGCTAAGGAAAACAAAAACAAAAACCTGCATTCAATTGGGTAACAGCCTTGAGAGAACCAATCTCACAGGCCACGGGGGGACCTGAGCCAGCCTGGTCTAACGCATACATACCCACAGGGACAGAGGACCAAGAAAGACCTCTGGTATTCTGGAAGGGCCGGTGGTCACATGCGCACTGACCTCAAAGGGGCTAACTGTGCCCCAGCACCCTCCCTAGTGACCAAGATGTTCCATAGCTGGGATTAACACTGCTCAGTGTTAAAAACAATTAGATGTAATTGTTTCTTTTATTTCCCCCTTGAGGGTAGAGACCAGCCTTCCAGGTTCTTTGCCAGTCCCTCAGAGCCCAATGTGATGCCAGGAACATAATGGTGTTAAATATTTATTGAATGAATAAAGGAGGAAATGCAGATTCTAGTTTCTGATGGTAATGCTGGAAAATACAGAAAGTCCTCTTAAATTCAAATATCAAAACAATGATTTCCCAAAATAATATTTTTTATGTGGTTCATATTAATATTCAGAACTACAGAGCTTCTGAATCTGTTAGGAAACACTCTTGTATTGTCCTCTTTTGAATCTCTAAATATCATCACATTGACTGTAATAATCTTCCTCGAATTCATCCGAAACAGTCTGGGGCAAGATTTAACATTATATGTCTTGATTCATTAATAAGAATTACCATATGAAACAGATTCTCTTGGGCAGTATCTGACAACCCTGGGCATAAAGGGTGGTTTACAGGAATAACACACTGGGTTATAAACAGACTTCCTTTCTCTGAGCTACAAAATCACAAGCTTCTTATTATTAGAAGACGAGGTCTAATGGACACAGTGAACAAAAGAGGGTGAGTGTGGGACTCAGGCACACAGGAGACTCTTAAAAGTTCACAATCCTACATATTCAAAATTGAACAATGACAAAATGAAGCTAAAGCACAGGCAACACACAACCCTGATTTCTGTCCCTCATCCCTGTATCCTTCCACTGTGGACAGGTAAATACACATTCCTCCCCAAAGCCTCCTCAGCCCACCAAGCCCTGTCTGATGAACACCAGTTTCCCTGGTCCCATGTAGTTTCCAGGGGATGCAGACTGTTAATGTGCTTGGCTTCTAACTGAGAGGCTGAAGGTCCAAGTATAAGTCCACCCAGAGGTGCCTCAGAACAAAGACCTGGCGATCTACTTCTCCCCATAAATCAACCATTGGAAACACCACGGAACACAGTTCTACTCCCACACATGCGGGGTTCCTATGATTTGGAACTGACTCAATGACAACTTGTTTCTCCAGTCCCACACCAAAGTCCAACCCAGGGAAGCACTTGGCAATTTAGCCTGGACCCTTCCTTCCTCCTCATTCCCACTCTAACTTCCACCATGCTGTCTGTCCAGGTCATGAAATCTGGCTTCGCCTCTTGCTCATTTCCAAGCTCTCCATGGGCTCTGAGGCTCTGACTGGCCGTTTCCCATCTACCAAAACCTTGCATTTCCCTTCAGACTTGATCGAGACACTACTCCCTCAAGCCCTAGATCCCCAGACTGTCCTCAAAGAGAAAACTGGACAGATTACTCTGACAAATGTCTTTTCCATTTGTTAACACAGCACAGAGTAGAGTTTCAGGACTCATTTACCTGGACTGTCATCTACACTGATCAAATAATCAGGCAGCTGCCCAATCTGCTCCAGGCTTCAGAGCACTCGGGACAGAACCTGCCTGGCCTGGGACACTCCTGCTCCTAGCCCAGCTACCCTGATCCCCACTAGGCCATGCATCCACCAGCTCCTTGTCCTCCCTCCTTGCCTCTGAAGGCAAATTTGCTAACAAGAACATCGGCATGGGGTTCTCACTTAGAAGCTGTGACCTTTAACAAGGTGTTTTTTTCTGTTTGCAGGAATCATACTGGCTCTGAGAAACTGCATTATCAACTAACTAAATAAAAGCAAACTCAAGTCCCAGTGTGGTGCTGTAGGATAAGCACAGGACTGCTAATTGCATGGTCAGTAGTTCAAACCCACCCGTTGTTCCTTGGAACCGACTCAAAAGTAGTAACCAACAACAAACAAAAAAATAAAAGCAATTTTAAAAACATAAAGTGCATCGGATTTTTAACTTCTTCCTAATGTTTCTGCTTTTCTTCCTCTGCCCTTCTTCAAGAACAATCTTTCACGAATAAAATAGACGTCGTTTGCCTCCAACCCCCCAAACGTACTCCCACCACCTCTGATAGAGCTGGCTTGTGTTTTTTCCTCTTAAGCAGACATATGATATGAGGAGGATCCAAAACGTTGAAGGAAAACTTCCATCGTCTTTTAATTGCATTTTCCATGAACTTTTTGAAGCCCCCTTGTATTTAGTCTTCATTCTGAAGAGGCCATCTCTCCAGCATTTTGGGGCCCATCTCTCTTTTCTTCTTCAAGATGAAACGATCCCATCTTCAACTGTTGTTCTAATTTTCTTTTTTTTAAAAAGTAAATCATCTCCTGACTTTTTATAATACATACATACCTCTGTTGCTGTTACATGCCCTCCAGTCTGCCTGACTACTCATCGTGACCCCACGCACAATGGAACTACCTACGCACAATGGAACTAAACGCTTCCTGGTCCTGTACCAGTCCCATGATGGACTGCGGACTGAACTGCTATAAGACATAAGGTTTCCATTG